GCATGTATAAATGGACAACATTGTTACCACCAGTCGGATGAGTGATGCCCATTTGTGGGGTGTGTGTGTGTGTGTGTGTGTGTGTGTGTGTGTGTAGGGCCCAGAAAAAAAGCTTGCTGTAGAATTATATTTATGCCACTTTTGGGGCTTTTGCTTGTCACATGTGCACAAAGAGTGCTCATGTCGGTTGAACGTTTAAGTCGCAATGACACTGACTGCAAATGTTTAAATATGGATGTTTTTGTATACCTTACTTGCTTTTATAGAGAACACTTTTCATTCTGTGGTAAAGTTTAAAAAAGTGTTTATGTGCCCATTGAAATCACATAAAAGCTTGATGGCAGTAAAAATTAAATTCTTGTTGGCTACACACTGACAACTAGTGTCATCGCACCACAAGATAGAGCAATAGAAAAAAGTAGTATGTTGCTAATTTGAAAGATGAATTAGATGTGCTGCACACAGAGATTTGCTACGCTGCAGTTTTGAACCGAAGAGCTATAAATTTCATTTGTCACAGCATCCAAATCCCCCAGTGTGTGGCTTATACAATAGGAGTTTGTTTCACAGACAACAACATTTTTGCGTAGTTTTGTGGCAAAGTCAAAAACAGTATAATGCATGTCACACACAGAGAAAGAGTGAGATATATATGTATTTATACATATAAATAAGCACACACTCACACACACATATATGTTAGCAGGGCCATTGTCTGACTCAGACAGCTTACACAAAAGCCATAGAGAACAATTTAGATATTTTCTAAAGATTTAAGCGGTTCACATGACACGGCAGGGTAAAAACTTGTCATCGGTTGCCAAGCTACATATAGCTTTGAGGTAAAGCATATAAAGATACTTAGGGCCCAGGAGGGGCAACTGTTTGTCTCGACTCGTCTATTCGTATTTGTTTGGCATTTAAATAAGCATAATTCTAGTTGCACAAAAACACATTTAAGTCTTTTTTATGGACTTCAATCTTATGCACTCTACTACCATATGCATATTCATGGAACTAACCACAACAGCTCGACATTATTACTTATGTGTGTTGGTATCTCTGTTTGTTTGTATATTTATTTGTTTGTTTGTTTGTCTCTTACAGGTATGTTGTACACGCGCTCATATGTGCATATGTGAAAAGCTTCACTACAGACGTCAGCCTCAGTCTCAGCTCCAGCCTCGGCTTTAACCATCTAAGTGGCTACAACATTTGCATAGACGGGGCGGCATATGTTGTAACTGGTTTGTATGTTAACACACTCACACACAAACACCCATACACACACATATTCCTATTAATACATATATCTGTTCATTTGTGTGCATGAGACTGGCACTTCAGTGTCTTAAGTTCTTCTTTGAGTGGCAACTTTTTCTCAATTGCCGCAAGTGGTGTTGCAAGTGGTTTTCAAAGCGCTTTGGGCCAGATACAGGTGTATGCTTCTGTGCTCCGTGCGGCCTTTGAGTGGTGTGATAGAGAAAATGCATTTAGGTCTGTAGAAAAGTTCACCAGCAACCAACACACACACCTGACCTCAATGCTTAAAGAAATTGTGTGTCAGTTGTGTATGTAGAGCGGAAATGTGTGTCCATAAAGTCTGTAGCGGCTCATAGATCGCAAAAATAATTTGCACTGGCTTGTGGTTAGTTCATATCAGATATTTGATTTTAAATGCGACAGTGTAAAACATTTGCAAAAATATCAACAATTTTAGATAACAATGTATGAAATATTTGATATTTCTTTTATTAATTTTAGACCTTATTAAATTCATAACTAATTAAATTAAAATGCCATTGATATATCCTTAAGTCAATAGAATAACCTTTAAAACATAAATTTTATCTTGGCCAAAATCTTTAAAATCTTAGTTAACTATCAGCAAATTTTATTAACTTATGGACAAAAGCTTAACTCGTGTGTTATTACAAAAAAGACTTGGGATTTTTTGTTTATGGAAGTATAAAATATTTTCTTTTATATCCTTTTATAAAACAAATAATAAACGAGTAACAATTTCTTACAAAGAAAGAAAATATACGATAAGTAATTGTGAAGAGCTCAGATAAAAAGAAGAAAAATGAGAGAGGAAGGCAAAGAAACAAGAGTAATAAAAAAGAGTTGAAGAAGTAGAAACAAGGTTGGGCAAACAGAGATGAACACACATTGAATCAGTTAGGAAATAGCATGCTAAGCACATACTACAACTAGGCGTGGTCAGCAAATACTCGATAGTAGCCAGAGAATAGAGAACACACATGGAACAAGCTATTGTACATGGTATAAGTTATGGTACATATTTCGCTTTACAAAGAACATAGGCCTGTTCAAAAATAAAATTTGAGAACTGTCTAACGATCTATAATTGTTCAGAAATTTATATACTTTATTAGTTGCGAGATTCAATCACGAAATTATTACAAGGGTATATAAGACACCACTGCTGATATTTCTACACGTACTTAGCACATTTTTATTCGTATTATCATTATATAATTACAATTTATTTTGGTATTAATTTAAAGGATGAATTTCCAGACAATTTCTCGCTTGCCTACCGCAAATCTCTGTCGTAATTAACCCACTTAACTGGCAGTAACTTTGGCCAGCTATCACCGCAAAGGGCGGTGGCTTCTGTGGGCGTGGCTCATGTCCATGTTATCCCTCAACAAAAAAATCCGCAAGCAACGCGCAGAAATTTGCACAATTTTTAATGGCGCAGATGTGTCTTTGGTGGTGGCGTGTGTGTGCTAGAGTGTGCGAAGCGCGTGGTTCGAGGCTTTCGATGAGGGCTTTGCGTGTGCTTCCATATGTGTGCGTGGACTTAACTGACCAGCACACATACACACGCATGCAGGAAGCTGCAGCCATGGTAAATGCTTTAAAAAGCCATTTCAGCTTTTTTCGTCGTTTTTTTGGAATCCCCTTCTTTGATGCGGCCACAAAAAAGGGCGGATTATAAAACACTTAAACGATTTTAAGCGCAATTATGTTGGCGCGAGCACGTAAACGCATCGTGGCCATTGCAACGCTTGCCCGCTTTAATATTTAAACACTTTCCGCTGCCCGACTTGCTGCTGCTCATTAGGTTTTCATTTAAAGTTTCCCCAACAGGAGAAGCACAAATTTGTTCTAAATTATTTAAAAACTAAGTTGGCCGCTAGCTAAAAGAAAGAAAGAACTAAGAAAAAACTAAACAAACAAATAAGTGAATAACAGGGGTGCATTCTCCACAATAGTATATCCTCTAAAGGACAGAATGGCAGTGGGGTAGTTTTAAATAATAAAATATTCAGTACGGGATTACAAAAATGAATAATAAGAAACCAACACAATATTTGTGAATAAAACAAATTAAGTGTAACCACGTCGATTCTTAAATTAAGAGTTTCGAAATAAACAAAGTTTTATTTTTCAATTAAATTGGGTAGGTTTAAAAAGCGAGGACTAGAAAGCAAAGAAAAATTGCAATACATTTTTTTTTATTATTGTTTTAGAGTGTATTGATTGAAAATAGGATGTCTAGAAGCTTTTTAAAGTCAAATCCTTTGTATATTCTCCCCGTTAACTATCTTAGAGTTAGTTTTTATAAGCCTCTGGAAGCTTAGGTGTTACCCGTCAATATAAATAATAAAAACCCAATTTGAGGATCGTTATTTTCTGAGAGAAAATCCTTTTAATGGAGGCTAATATACCCTTTTAAAACTGTTAGCTTTTGGGTAGAATGAACATAGTGCCAAGCTCAGCCGCAGATAGTCCGAAACAACAACAACAACAGCGCAGCAAATAGAACAGAAATAGAAGCAACAACAGGCCAGAAACGCTAGTAAACCGGTCTACAAACAATTAGAACGTCAGCTTACCGGAAAAAAGTTTGCATTTCATTTATACTCGAAGGATTTTATTTAGGAAAAGTTTTGTTGTGCATGCCAGCATGCGCAATGGGCAGCGAGAACTGCGCCTGGCCAGTGGCAGGCGTTATCCATTGTGCAATTTCTTCGGCAATGCCAGCGATTCTTCAACGGCCACTTCAGCAATGGTGGCAATGGAGGCAATGGTGGCAATGGAGGCAATACAGGCGAGAGGGCAACGCCGGTGTTTCCGTTGCAAACGCGCGCCATTGTTGCAACAATAAACTTCCGGTTTTAAATTTCACTTGTTTGTCTGTCTGCCTGTGTGTGTGCGTGTGTTTGTGTGTGGTCGCAAAACAAAATGGCCGCTGCCAGTAGCAAGCTGTCGCTGCCAACGGCTTTTGACATTAATTAGCACAAAACATGTTGAGCAACGGTAAATGCAACGGTAAAGTTTTTGGCCATTTGCAGCTGCATAATGGGCCCTGAATAGCTTAAGCTGCTGCCATCAGCCGTGTTTATTACGTAATTTAGATAACGTCAGTACCTAGCTTGACCCTGCTACTGATGGCGATCCAGCACCTGCATCAGCAACGGCCACTGCTGAAAAATGCTCCGTCAGCATGCGAAGCATCTGACAGCAGCATCTTGAGCTGCCACTGACGTCAAGTTAAGTTTCAACTGGTCGGTCGTGTGCATAAATAAATCAACAAAAATGTATCTAAGCTCAGCAAAGTTTTCGTCAGCTTACTAAGTTGCTTAGCTTTATTGATGAGCCAAGACTTGAGTGTAAGTGTGATTATTTGGGCAACTTGAGAAATTTCACTTGTCTGCATTTTCAAATAGGTTTGGCGATGCAGGTTTTTGGTTCAAAAATACTTACTGCTAGGTTCTATTTGTGATCGGGGTTTTCTCCAGTTAATGAAGCAATTTTTCATTTTATATCATCTGTAAGTAAAATTTATGTATAAAGTTATAACGCTTTTGTATTTATGCTAAATAAGAAACACGTCTGCACGTTTGGGAGATATTACCCCGAATTGGTCATGGAGATTACTGATGATATCCTTTTGATATTAAGCTACCGACAGGCCATAATAAATCACTCTATAAATTGCAATACATATCTTTTAGAGTCACAGTTGGAGATTCACTATCCATGTGTAGCCGATATTACGACTTTGACTGCCATGTTCTTCTTTAATACAAACAACAAAAATGTTTTTTCACTAATATATACTTAATCTATAACATTAACTAATCAGAGTTCGTCTGCTGTGGAAATTCCATGTTGTACTCTCGTTTTAGAGTGAACTTCAGATCTAATAGACTTGGCTCAGCATTTCGGTATTTGGCCAGTTTAACCAAACGCATGGACACATCCTTGACGAAGGCATTGGCGCACTTGGCTACCAAGTCCGCTGCCTGATCGTCTAACGAGGCAGTTTTGTCAATTTTCTGCACAAAACGATTTAAATTTGATTTGCGTATAATCTGTAGAGAAAAGTATGGGAAATATATATGTATATCCTTTAATATTATTAGAATTAAAATGGTACTCACATGATATTTATTGGTTGAGGAGCATATGTATTCTTTATCGCTTTCGGCTTGATTGCTTTTGCTCGATGAGCTCAAGCTGCATGATGAGGATTGACTCTCATTGCCTGAAGATACATCGCTAGTATCTCTAGGTAATTCATCGATCCAAGGCCACGGGTTCAGCTGTCCGGAACTCATTTTAAAGTATGCGAATAAAAGCAAATGCTGATGAAACAAATTAAGAATTATAAAAGGATTACTCAGTCAAAAGCGGAAAATAACTGTTGCCTGTGGGATAGATTAACTTGTCAGCTGATAAAAAAGCTGTTGTAACTAATTGAGAATTATAAAACAGTTGCTGAGTTGCAGTCAGAGAAAAAAGTGTTGCATATTTGTGGAATGAAAAATTAATGTAAATGTCATTTGCCGTTTTCCATTCATTATTTTCGTCACGTTTTCAACAAACGGTTAAAAAATGTTTCGAAATCAATGCAATATTTCATGGATTTCAAGCGTTGACTGATCGATTTAAGCGCAATTTGTATGACGTCAATGTTAATGTCTTACGTTGACGCCCCTTGAATTACAGTCTCTCTCTCCCACACACACACAAACACAGTTCATGGCAGTCACACAATTCAAGGCGCATTTGTCGCACACTAAAAATTCGGAATTTTCCTTTTCTTTTCTTGCTGATTTTCCTGCTTTGTGTCTGCTGCCCTCGAGTAAATGTGTCGCTTATTGGAATGCACTTTGTTTGGCCAATTGCATTGATTTGCGGTCAAAAGGGATGGTAAATTTGACAAAGATTTTGTGCGGCAATTTATCGCATGTCCGTGCAACGAATTGTCCAGCCCACACTTTCGTTCTCTGACTGCGCCGTAACTTTATTTAATGGCTAAAAGTTCACACTTCCTTTAGCTGCTCGTAAACTTTGTCCAGAGCAGCCAGGACAACCATATGTTTTTGTTCTTGTTGTTGTCACTGTTATTTCTCTTGTTGAACTTTTGTTCAAATAGAGGCGCTGTTTTTGCTGTTTACTTGGACCCAGTGCTAAATATTTCAAACAAAAGCCAAACAAACAGCTGACAACGCCAACACCAACAACAACAACAACGCCAACACCAACAACAACAACAACAACAACAACAACAACAACAACAACAACAACAACAACAACAACAACAACAACAACAACAACCACAACAACAACAACAACACCAACAACAACAACAACACCAGCAACAACAACAACAGCAATAGCTACAACTACGGCAACAAATGGTTGGCGGAAGGAAGCTCAACTTAAATAACGGATATTGGCTTAAATAAACAATGGCGTCCATGTCTGCATTGCCAGCGCATATAACACATCTCTATATCTATTTATATTTATATGTACACACATACATATACACATAAACCGACTGTGCAAGCATTAAGCAAACTTGCTGGCAAACTGTGCGGCGATAAGCAGCGCTTAAGCGGAAGTTGCCACCATAGCTGCCACCCATTACCCGCCTGTGGCTTACACCGTTAAGTTGGCTGCATTCGCAGGGCTGCATTTTGCGTAGCGTTGCCAAATTGTTTTTCTTTACGCTGTTGTTGTAAAATGCGGCTGGGAGCACAACAGCTGTGTTATGTCAAGTTTTTCGGGCGCTTTAATTGCTTGTTAATTAGCGTAGTTTGTGTTGTGCCACGCCTCAGAAATGGCGTTTATTGTTGCTTTTTTTTGTTTTCCTGTTAGCATCGCCAATCTCAATTTTTTTTTTTTGGTAAGGTTAATTGTTGATGTGTGAAGCCGTGACACGCCACTGATGAAATTTAACAACTGTGCAAATATTTGACAGACGGCTGACAGGCTGTCAACGAACCCGAACGAGGCCCAAACCAAATCGTTCATTGACGCGGAGCGTGCGAAAATTGACTGGCTTTCAACCTGCTTGCCCAACCGGAGTCTGAGAAGCTTCAACACATACGAGGGGTCCAATAAAACTTTGTGTAATTGGATGAATAAAACTAATGCAACTTAAATAAATGCATGGCCTAAAGACGTGCCCAGACAATAACAAGTGACGTGCAGTGTAAGCAAGGAGAAAAAGAAAAAGATTTTCTATGTTGGGTTGACAGCAAGTATTGAGTATAAGAAATGTGTCAATCCGGCAAGTGGACAAGACTTGTTAAATGCTTAGAGATAGCAGCAAGCGGAACGTTAAGAAGAGAAACGACCGACCAGAAGTGTCAATTCGTCAATATTTGTAAAGTTTCCCCTTTAGTCTGGCATTTGTTCTTAAATAATATGAGTGACAATAGTTAAACAACCCGATCACTAAGTAAACTTTCCAGGGAACTTAATGTTGTGGTGCTTATAATCCCCAAAGAGTTGAGCCTGGCAAACAGTGTAAAATTTATCCAGATATGGGCGTTATTGTATTCTAATGCTTTCCCTAGACGAACTTTGGTTGAGACCCTCGTAGCGCCTGCACATGCCGTTGCATATCTGCACATTGTATGTGCATGTGTCATCTGTGTGGCAGCTAGTGGAGCATTCATATTATTTTCACACCTAACGACTGTGAGAACGTCAGCGACAACGCGCTTGACAAATGTTAGCGGCAATATTTGCACTGCACTACAAAAACAAGAACGCGCAGAGCACAGCAAAAGGATCAGGATTGCAATTGCTAAAATCGATAAGGGCGGGGAGGTGTTGTGTATAAGCAAACCGAATACTTAACTGGCGCTAAAAGGATAAGCGCATTAAAGCATTTACTTTGCAATGCGAATCAGAGGAAGGAAAATGTATTAGTGCTTATATAGTCGAGCGCTCGTCGATTGCAGAATTTTGTCGTGCAGCCTCTGGGCAGTGGCAGCCGCTGCCGCAGCCGCTGCCTCAGCCGCAGTCGCCGCCGCAGTCATGTGGCATCAAGTGGGGGCAACTAGACAAACAAGCCACATGTTCATGTACTCGTTGTGCTCGACACAAAAGCGCAACAAACAAGCAGCAACAGCCCCGAGCTACACAATTGCAACTCTAACAAAGGACACGCTGCACAGGACACGCGACAATGGGGTGGTTGGGTTCAGGGGGCCGGGTTCGGCGCTCGGCATGGGTGCGAGTGCAATGGCAACAAATCCGCAACGCGACGCCCATTGCACTGTGGACCCACTTAATCCGGCCATTGTGTTCGCCTTATTATGACGCCCATCGAGCATTGTCTTGGCCTAATGTTGTTGACTCAAGGCGCACAATGGAGCGCCTGCAACCATATTCCAAGTATTCCAAGTGGTTCAAGCATCTCAACTATTCCAAAAAGGACATTTTTATGCTTTATCAGCAGCGTTGCCAGCGGCTAAAAATTGTTTGTGTTCTTGTTGTTTTTGCTGCCTTACCATACGCCCGTCTCTTATAATGAACGCATCTTTTGGCCTGCCTCGCGGGTTGGGTTGAGGGGGTTGGTTGTCAAGCCGAGTGTGTGTTAAGGTTACATTTTGTTTGTTCTCCTCAGAAGACAATGCGCCCAGACGGCGCCAGTTGCCGCCAGACGGCGTTCCCCTTCGCTCCACCACCAGTTGGCATTTACGAACTATAAACATTTATTTTTTTGGCAACTGTTTCGAGTAAATCGATAAAATGTCTATGAAGTCATGTTGCTAAAATTAAAAGAGGTTTAAGGAAATGCGCGTAAATGCATGAAAGAGAAATTTTGGGTAAAAACCAGGAAGCATTGGAAATTTAGAAAAAATATGAAAATGTTGTTAAATTTTGTTGGCTGGTCTTAATTACAGAAATTGGTTTTTGAGACAGAAATAATGTCACACGAATACATAATTTAATATCATATACTTATACCTAGAGAAGAATATTTAAATAAACATTTTTGAACAATTTAAAAAAACAAAGCCTGTCACATAAATATTTTGTTTATCAATTGAAATTGAATAAATTGGATATCTTGGTAATTAATTTTAAATGTAATTTTTGCAAAATAATAATTATTTTTCTGCTCTCCTGTCGGCACAATTTTAAGCCCACGTATTGGCATTTTAATGATTTCTTTGAATGACCCTAATTAATATTTATTTTGTTTTCACTGATAGCACACATATTTATATGTGTGTCAGACACACACACACACACACACAAATACATTAGCATGTACACATATATTTATTTGCAAATTGGCCTTAATGAAAATTAATTAAATTATTGATAGATAATGCGAGCATTTTGTAAGACGAGTTGAGGTTGAGACTTACATAAATGAGCTTGCAATCAACTGATGCTCAATCAATTCGCAAACTGAAACTAATTATGTACTGCAAAAGTTGATTGCCAATAAATCAATTCATTATGACCACAAGCGCACATGCTTCATGCTACATGCGGCATACCACCGGGTCACTAGTCATCCTCCTGCTGCTTATTAAGTTGCCACAACTTGGGCAGCACTTGCTTTGTCTTGGGTTTGCTTATTTTTCTAGGTCATGCCCTGAGGAAACGTTGGCCAACGAAAAATGTGCGGTATTTTCTTTTGTATACCCTGTAAACTTGAAGAGTTCAGGTGGCATAAAGCATACATTTTTATACACTTAAAAGATATTGTTAATGAACAATGTCAAAAGTTAATTTATATATATTTTAGATATTAGAATTTAATCTAATCCTCTCGACAATCTTGATACAATCTAGCTTTCAGCATCGTATATTTATATATGGAATGTTTTAAGATGTGTTTTAAGATTTTAAGATATCTTAAAAGTATCAGAAGAAGCGCATATTCTTCCTTATTTACGTAATTCTTTATGTCAGACCTGGGTACAGGGTATTTCTCGGTGGTTTATTTTCGGGACGACATTCAGACTTACGTCTTTTCATATTTTTTTGGTACCCATTTTGGCAGACAAATGGCGACGCAGTTTTGTGGCGCCACTAGACGGTGGCTGCAACCACCGTCGCCAGTCTCTAACAATTTTTACTGCAACCATTTCCTAGACGGCAAATAAATTCAGGGCTGCTTAGCCTCAGCTACCACTCCCCAAATCCTTTCCCCGTCGACGCTGCCAACAACTGGGTATTGATTTCGTGCTGCGCTGCACATTAAAGTGCTGAAAGAACTGGCGAAAGTTTTGCGGCAGTCACATCCATAGTTACAAGTATACTTTGGTAGCTGTCAGATCCATCAACTGCTGTCACAACTGATACCAACCAGCCCCCTTTCCCATCATGAAAAGTTCAAGAATCCTGTAATATGGGGGAA